TTGCATTTAACAAGATCGACTCACCGTCGTCCTTCTTTATCCATCAGCTGCTTGCTTAAATTCGCTAGAGTTTTCATGAGTCATTACTGCCACGTTTTAGTGATGGTAAAACTACCGTCCCTCGTGTCTTTTTTGCAGCCAATTTTTCAGAAGGCCAGACAAACGATATAATGACCGCTATATTAGAGTTAAGTGTGATCGGAGATTGTTTCAGCACAGTCAGCGTCTTAGGCATACAGTGCAGCTACGATAAGGTATCCTGCGATTGAAAGAGATTACAATAGGTAGGTTTTTTTCATTTTGATTCTGTAGCGAACAGTTCTAATATTTTTTCAAATTAAAAGTACTCCTTTGAGGTGTTCTGTCAACTGAATGTTTAAGTACCGTTATTTCGTTGGGCTACAGCTTCAGATTTATCGCTGGCCTTTACGGCTACCACATCGGCTCAGAATTACGTACTCTGTCGTACTTGCTTTGTCTCTTGCCGTTCCTTTCTTTGATCGTTGTTCGTTCTCCACAGCCATAGATTTTGCAGCGCATTTATCAAAATAATTAATTCGTTATAACTTTTAACTTAATTTGTTTACTAATTAACCATTTTCAAAATTAATGAAGCATTAAATTTAGTAACCGTTGTAGCTTTTCGGTTTTTGTTCATAAGTGTTTCGTTAGTTTTTTTACAAGTGTGAATGAAAACGCACGAACAAATTGCACCACTTTCTAGTTTTGAATTGCGTTGTACATAAATGTTTGGTATGTTTTTCTGTTCATGCAAACATGAGCTAATAACTTGTTTCTGCAACGCTGTCAAGCATTTTGATCTACTTTAGCCCGCATACTGTCTGCTCTTGGATTGAACCTGCGCAACAAGGCTGAACTTTATGCTGATCCTGCCCAAAAAGCAATATTTATGCTCAACAACACGAATCACATCGTGAAAATCTTGCGCAAATCCGGTGTCATGAAGCTGGTGTTGCAGCAAAACAGAGAAGTCGAGGGATATTACAACGAGCAGCTGAAGTTATTCAAGACACAATACCTTCAGAGGTGAGACTAGATTAGTATGCATCTCGTTTGAAAGAATTAGTTGTCCATATGTCGACTTCTTGGCATTTTGTATAATTTAAAATTTAATTGGTGACGTAGAATCAACAAATGAAAAATGGGGATAATATACGCCGCCGTATTTTTGTCAGGTCTGAAAAATGTTGACCATCGACGTTGGCGTGTTGCGTGTCCATGCTTTTGAAAGAGTATATAATTGGAGGATTTGGCCAAGACTCACCACTCTGACCAAGTGGGTTGGTCGGTGTTGCCTTTTTCACTTGCGCAGTATATTTTTGAACCCTTCATTGCATGACTGAATTTGCCAGAGCCAGAGGCTCATCGTCTTGACAACCAGTGTTCACCTTTTACCCCGTCGAGGGATTGAAAGTATGCTTAGAAGTGAATATATACTATAATCCATCAAAATAACAGAAATGAAGATCATGCTATTCGTTAACTAATTTTCATTTGATTTACGATATTAAGTTTGCGCCGGGAAAAGATCATTTATTAGATGAGTTAAGAAGATGGTTCGAACAGTATTGATAACCTTTAGTGACCATTCCAATGAAATGCAGTGTCCTCCTAGTTATTGAAAGGTTATCACTTTGCTATCCGTTTCCAACATTTCTCCCTCCAGAGCAAAGTTCGGTAATTATCTTGTGCTTTGCAGTTTTCAGATGCGAAAAATTTACGTAGCATTTAATTTCGAGCCCATTAGCACCGCTCCGGGGAGCAAATAACTAATACTTCGCCACGCATTGAATTAGCATAATGATTAAGATGCTGGGTCCCCGTGACGCGCTTTGTTCAGCAGATGATAATCAATTAATGGAGTTATCTTAAACATAAAACTATTGCCACCGGGAAGGTGGTTGTTGTCGATTTGAACGCTGGTAAAACCTGGTTAATTCGAAACTTTAAG